CTGCTGTGCAAACAGTTTTGACAGGAACTGCTGTAACTCGGGCTTGACTGAGTGTCAGACCAACCAGACAGCCCTGTGGGGTAACACACTTTCCCGTGAAGGGTACTGGCCACCCTGGCCAGCGATTAACGAGATGTAAGGTCAGATGTATTACTGCATCCCAGGTAGCAGATCCCGCCTAGTATCCTTTGTCTCCTGTCTTACAGGCAGGACTCGTGGTCCTCAAAACAGGAAGGGGCATTTTTTTTTTTTGGAACAAACAAACAGTAAATTACATTCATTTTCCTGCCATCAGCAACACGCCAACTTTAGCAGCAGCTGATCTACAATCAAGAGGGTTTTAAGGCCCGAGACATGCCTGGGTTTTAAAAACCCACATGGCCACATTTCTATCTGGAACTCGTAGAATGGTGCTGGTCTGCCCTTGACAAGGCACAAACTTGGGAGATAGTGTCTAGGTTCAAATTATGGCTCTTATTTTTAATGACCTTGGGCAAGTTTCTAAATATTACTGAGCCTCAGTTTTCTTATCAGTAAATTGGAGCTAACATCTATCTCACAGGGCTCTAGGGAGGGTTCGATGCAATAATCTATAGAAAATGCTTAGCCCAGAGCATAGCGTACAATACTCGCTAAACAATAATGCTTATGTTATTTATACTCATCATCATCATCGTCATCATCATCACTATGTTTATAGCATTCTAAAGCTGATCCTTGAGCTGCTGAATTAGTTTTCCGGTTACCAAAGTTTTAAAAAAGCTCACTATGAAAGATCTCTATGTATTGATATGACATCATCTCCAGGGTACACTGTCAAGTAAAAAACCACAAAGTACAAAAGAAGACCTTCAGTACTTCAACTCTCCATGTAGCAAGAGAAGGGGACATAGGAAAATATACATGTGTTGGCTAATCTGCACACAGGAAATACAAGAAGGATAAACCGGAAACCAAAGACACTGGTTACTTCAGGTCGTGGATGGGAAAAGGGTGGAAAGGATGGGGAAATGGAATGGACGGTGGGAATGAGAGGGCTGCACGTTTCTCTGTGTCTATTTGTATATGACACTTAGAACCATGACAACATTCGACATGCTCAAAAAATAAACAAAATCAAGTGTGTGTGTGTGTGTGTGTGTGTGTGTGCAGACTCAAAATGCAATATAGACAGCAACAAAAGAACACAACTGGATTACAGAGGAATAACACCACAGTGAAGGGGGTGGGAAGGAAAAGAACTAGCCTAAGCCACCCAGAAAACCATTATGTTGATTGGATTCTATAAGCTAAAGAAAAAAAGAATGGCACACAAGTACAGTACTCTAGTTATATTTGTTTGTCACAGGGGTTTGGATAAGCAATTCAGAAACGACCTTTTGTGAGCACTGGGCTTGAACAAATAAGTAAATATATTGCAGATAGTAAGAGCGAGTTCTCACTATCGGACGAAGACATTACAAATAAGGAAAGTGGGAAGGCTAAAATGAACCCTGAGACTCTGGGCTGGATTTGAAGACATCGGTATGAACTCAAGGTTCAGATGGAAGGGCGGGGAGGGGAGGGGACCAAGCAAGACTCCTTGGATAAGTGGTTGATTCCAGGGGGAAAATACAAGATGAACCTGGAGTGGCTTGTGTTGCCAGAAAGTAAAGAAGGGCTCAATCTATAATGAAGGCGTGTCAGACGGGCACAGGCGTCGACCTGGAGGTGCCCCCAGCGGCCAAAGCTAGAATAAGCTGAGCAAAAAAATAAACAATGGTATAATGGATTGTAACCCAGAGAGTAAAATAAACATCTGTGAGCCCGTACTGATACCATAAATTACTGAATAAATAAGTAAACGAGGAAAAAGGGAACGTTCTTCATTACGAAAGAATTCTAGTTAATAACCATAGAAGGGGTGTGGGAAACAGAAAGCCGCCATTAAGCGAACACCGTAGTAGTAACTGTTAGAGGCAAGACCCAGCGATGGACGTGCACATGACAAGGATCAGCCCTGCAGGTCACCTGTCAGGGATCAGGGAAGAAAGGCTGCCTACAGGCTTTTGGACATCTGAGAGCATTTCTTCCTAAACCTCACTACATCACTCCTCCATTCAGAATGGCACCGCCCTCCCACCTCCTTAAAAAGTCCCCATCACAGCACCATGCAGCCCAGGAGACTTCATGCCCACCCGCTCCCCGTGCTCTGGCTACGCTGGCTTCCTGGCTCCTCCTCGAGCACTGGGGGCACAGCCCTACCTCAGGACCTGTGCACCTGCCATTCCCTCTGCCTGGAATGCCTTTCTCCAGGGGTTAGCATGGCTCACTCTTCCATTTATTTAGGTCTCTTTCACCATTGTGCTGTCTACAGTAGAAACTCCATCCTCCACCCTCAGTTACCCTAGTTCTTACTCTGCTTTTCTTCCTTTTCTTTCACAGGAAAAGTCATCGACTTTGTGTTGCGCTATCTGATGAACATACACTCACTTGAAAACTTTCATTCACCACTTTTGAAGGAGCTGCACTGTATAGCACCTACATCGGGTATCTAATAAATACTTGCTGAATATACAAAAGAACCTATACAAAAAGGGAGTGGGAGTGGGTAATCATAGCGAGCATTTGCTGAGTGCTTGGCATGGGCTAAGACTTGTGCCCTATATTTTACAGACAGCTTCTCATCGACTCTTCACCAAATTTCATTTTACAGATAAGAAAACTGAGGCCCAGAATTGAAGAAGCTTGACACTGCTAATAAACAATGTCGAACCTTGCTCTTGACTCATCTGCTCTACTGCCTCCTTAGATATTTGTAAGACTCGGTTCAGCTCCAAAAGACGAGCCTTTATGAGACAAAGGAAGAGAAAAGAGAGTGAGAATATGAATAATTATAAATGAATTAGCTACCATTCCATTAACCAGCTCTTTGGCTCTGCCCTCGTACCTTCTTCAAGAATTACTCATGAGACTTCCTGCCTTGTCAGGGATGCTCAGCTGCAGTCTCTGTCAGAGGGAGTCTATCCTGTTATGATTTACATCTGCACCATCAGACTCTGCTAAGGCAACTGCCAGCAGATCGCAGGCGGCCAGCCGAGCGCCTGGCAGAGGCTCAGAGAGAAGCCAGTCACTGACAGCAGCTGTCGGCGGCTGCCTGCCTGCATGACCCGCTGTGGGGCTCAGACAGGCTCTGGACAAAGTCTGTACTTTCCCCTTGCACCCCCATTTCCACAAAGGGAAGATTAGGTGGAAGACTGACTCTGTCTAAAATCACTCTGACAAAGGCAGATGAGGGCTGGGGGGACTCCATTCCACTTTAAATTTAAATTCGCCACTTTGCAAGGAGTTCTCCATGAACTTTTCAAAGCGGGGATCAGGCCTCTCCAGGGGGTTGGTTTATTCCCCCATCTGAGTCCTCTCCCTCCTTAGAGCCTGGTTGTCACAGTTCTGAATGGCACTGATCAGTAAAACAAACAAACAAATGTTTAAACTAGATGGACGTAGACAAAGGACTAACATGATTGCCAACTTTTTATTTTACCCGCAAGGAGGGCATAAAAATGCGTGCAATCATCTCTGCTCACCACTGCCCTAAATGAAAAGCTGCTTTAGCGTCCCATATGCAGTATTTGGGGAGCATGTCGGAACTAGAAGGGAACCAGGAGACACCTCAGTGTTGCCAGATGGTGACGCCCTCAGAA